TCCTCCCCCCCCCCTTCCCTGAGTCCCCTGTCCTGCTCTTCCTACCCCCTTCCCTGAGTCCCCTGTCCTGCACCTCCCACCTCTTGCCCTGAGTCCCCTGTCCTGCACCTCCCACCCCCTTCCTTGAGTCCCCTGTCCTGCACCTCCCATCCCCTGCCCTGAGTCCCCTGTCCTGCACCTCCCATCCCCTTCCCTGAGTCCCCTGTCCTGCACCTCCCACCTCTTGCCCTGAGTCCTCCATCTCCCAGCCACTTGGGCTGAGCCCCAGACCCTTTGCCAGGAGTGCTGAACCTCCCATTCCCTATCCTGACCCCCACACACACTTCCCAACCCCCTGCCCTGACTGCTGCATCCCCGTCATCCCATTATCCTGACCCCCCACAAGGACTCAGGCAACACTGTGTAAACCCTCTAGTTACAAATACTGGGCAAATCATTTGCACAAATGTGTATAAATAAGCTTTTCTGTCTGCTCTCACATGTGCAATAGCTAATACTGAATGGAAAGATCACCGCCACTGTTAACATCTCAGAAAGAAATGTCTACAGCTGCATGAATGCGGTCTATAAAATAACAGGCTAGAATATTATCCTTTCCTGCGTACTCAGCCAATATTGACATTTCAGGGAAGAAACTGATAGCCAAAGACAATTCTCTGTGTTTTCTAAGGATTCCATTTTCTTCTGAATTATCCTGCACTGGGTATGTCAGGCACAGCATACTGGACAAAATGGAGAGCTGCTTTCTTCCAGCACGAGAATTCTTTTTCCCTTAAGAGAAGGTTTCTTGGTTTCCACATTTTACAGAACTGTCCTCTTTTCTGAGAAAGGGATTCCCAGGTAATCATCTCTTGGCAGGGTGGATTGATTTAAATCGGTGCTTTTCAAACTGGGTCATGGAGGCTACGGCTACACTGCTGGGTTTTTTGGCGGAAGAGGCTATGCAAATGATCTCATTTGCATCTCTTCTTCCGATTCTTTTTTGCAGAAGAGGTTTTGCCGATAAAAAGCCCCGGGTGGGCGGGGCCATTAGTCAGAAAAAAAACCTTTTGCGCAAGATCCTTTTATCCTCAATTTTTAAGGAATAAGGGATCCTGCGCAAAAGGTTTTTTTCAGACAAATGGCCCATCTACATGGGGCTTTTTATCGGCAAAACCTCTTCCGCAAAAAGAATCAGAAGAACATATGCAAGTGAGAGTGCCATTTACATATCCTCTTCCACACAAAAAACCAGCAGTGTAGCTGTAGCCGGAGTGTCAGGCGCTGGGTGCCGTTGCTGCAGGATGATCAGGGGACCAGTGGCGGTCTTAAGGCAGCTACCTGCGTGTCCTGATTGCGCTGCACCCCGGAAACAGCCGGCAGCAGGCCCAGGTCCTAGGTTGGGGTGCGGGAATGCACAGGGCTCTGCGCACTGCCCCTGCCCCAAAGCACTAGCTCTGCACTCCCATTGGCTGGAAACCTGTTGCTGGCTGCTTCTGGGTTCAAGGAGGCACAGCTCACTGGGAGCTGTTCAGGGTAAGCCACTCCTGCTCCAGTCCTGACACCTCCCTGCCAAGCCAGATCCCTCTCCTATGCCCCAAAGCACTCATCCTCAGCCCCGCCCTGGAGCCCACACACTAGTCAAATGATGCTGGGTTGCGGATGAACAATTTTCTTCAACTGGGTCATGAGAAAAAAAGTTTGAAGACCCCTGATCTAGGCCATCCGTCATGCCGAAACAGGATCAAGTATATCTATAACATCCATAGTCAGTGGGTAGCAACAATTTTCTTCAACAGGGTAATGAGAAAAAAAGTTTGACCTACTCCCGCTGCAGCTCCGACTATGTGTACACTGCAGAGCAGCAGCGGAGGTAGGTCCCAGATCTGGCACAAGCTGGGATTGAGCCGGGCTTGCTCGGTCCCGGCTCACACCAGGTCCAGCATCCCCTGCCCAGAGCAAGACTGGGCCTGCCATGAACAGAGGCTGCTTTGTGGCAGCCTCCTCTGCCCCCCTGTGTGCTGTCGCCTGTCTATATCTGAGGGAACAGGATGCATAATTTGGAATATTCCATAGTTATAGTAAAACTGGCTCCCCTTGACCTCTCCCATTCTGGTAAGCGTCACCCTCACCAACATGCTTACCAGGGTAAACAGTTAACTGGTGCCACGGCCAGGCCGGATCAGCCCCACCAAGCCCATTGCACCACACAGTGGGCGGAGGATGCCCCAGTCCGGCTGGCCGGCCCAAGCATCCTTACCCTGTGGACAGCAGCCCTGGGCAGGCTGGAGAAGACCCCTTGCCCGGGGAGTCCTAGTTAAACAGTTAGGCTACGTCTAGACTGCAGGCTTCTTTCGGAAGAAGCTTTTCCGGAAGAGCTCTTCCAAAAAAACTTCTTCCGAAAGAGAGCGCCCACACTGCCCACGTGCATGGAAAAAGCGATCTGCTTTTTTGATAGAGAGCATCCACGCTGAATGGATGCTCTCTCGCGTTTAAGCTGTGATTATAATGGATGGAGTGGCCACCCAGGCACCTGTGCTTTTTCCTCTTCCCTCTTCTTGTGAAAGAGCTCCCTCTTCCCTGTCCACACATGCCTTTTTCTGACAGAGCTCTTTCGGAAAAAGGCTTCTTCCTCTTAGGTTTTGCCCAAAGCCAAATCCACCCAAAGCTGGCAGAAGCGGCGAGTGGTTTGCTGGTGGGCGGGGGAAGCAGCAGTGAGCGTCTAGCAGGGTAGCTGGAGGGAGCTACTGAGCGGTGGCCATGCGACAAGGTGGCAGCAGTGAGCAAGCAGCTGGTGAGTGACCAGTGGAGGGAATAAGATGCATCTTTGCCTTCCCCAACTCAGGATGGGAGGTGAACTCTGTAGATCACCGGAAAGGACGGGGCCTCAAGAGGAAGGGGCAGAGCCAGAATACTTCCCTACTTCCCCACTCACAGACCAATTAGGCCCTGGGGGTGGATGAGCACCTTTGCCCTCCCCCCAGGTTTCCTTTAGGTGCCCAGGCCCCTGGTGGTAACAGGACACTTCACACACTCCCCCCAGCCCCAGGCCAATCAGGGCTTGAGGGCGGGAGAGCATGCGAAACCTCCTCCCACCCTGCCAGGAGCACATGGTGCTTCTGAGCACCACGTTATCCTTGTGGGGTGGGGGCAGGGTGGCGGAAACTTTGTGCACCTTTCCTCTGCCCCCAGGCTCTAATTGGCCTGGGGGCAGGAGAGCAGCAGGGCCTCCATGAGCCAGATCAATCCTCTTGGCAGGCCAAACCTGGCCCACAGAGGCCCTTTTGCCCTGCTGTAGATGCACCTCAGAACTCTGGGTCTGCCTTAACCAAAGCAACAACTGGGAATGGGGTGCAGAGAAGGGTTTGGCACGTAAAGGGGCCATCCAGATTGCTGGACTTAAGAACTTGACAGGAAAAGGACATTGCCCAACCGACTTGGCATGGTACTTTTAATCATCGTTCATGTTTATGAACTCTGCCTGTGGTACTTTCCCAAATTTATGCCAAGTTACCCCCTCCCTTTGATTAAAAGTTTCTTTTCTACACTCCAACTTTGTGCTTGTACATGGGGAAGCGTTGCCTCCCAGAGGAGCCCGGGGTGCTGTGTGGATTTCCCAGGTTATTAGGTGGGGGCTCAGGTTAGTTCTGTGTTGGATGGATGGAGAGGAAACCCTAGATATTGAACCTAGCTCCACCTGGAAAATGGTTTGTTAGTATAACTCCATCAGCTACTGTAGGCTGTGCCCATGAAAGCTCATGATCCCATCTACATGTTTGGTTAGTCTATAAAGTGCTACCAGACCATTTGCTTGCTGTTTTAGACCCCTTCCTATGTGCTCTGGGTGAGGTTGGCCTCTGAACTGGATAGCAACAAAAAACATATTAAAGGAAAATACTTCGCAGACACAGGTTTCTGTTTGCATCAGAAAGAAATGAAGTTTTATTAGAGACACCTTGCACAAGTAGGCAGGCTACCGTCCTTGGTACAGACTGTCAGATATTGGTGACTGAACCACAGAACATTACAGAATGGAAAAAGCAGGTAGCAATATGCAGGAAAGTGGCCCATCTGAAAAGCTCCAATAGGCCCCCAGAAATAGATGGCACAAGCAGCGTTGATTAACTTTGAGAAGCATTTCTCCTTGCTCTTCGTGTAGGCATGCAAGAAATACGGTGAATTTATTCTAACTTTGTCTGCTTTTGCTTAAATGGATAGTGTTCGGCTGGAGGATCATCAGCATGTCTGGTTACTCAAAAGTTCTTCTTGTGTACACTGTAGAGAGACAGAGGCAACTATTACTTTATTTAGCGTGTGAGAGGGGGACCTCTTTGCATTACCATTTAATACACAGGAAACAGGCTGGGGACAGATGCTAGTATGCCTGTAAGTACAGTACTCCAAAGCTTTATAAAAAATATATATTTCATGGGGTTCTGCAAAAAGTAAATGAGATTAAGAAAACCAGCTGTGCTTGTAATTAAGGGTGTGTCTAGACTACAGGGTTTTGTCGACAAAACTATACCTGCGTCTACAGTTTTGTCGACGGCTGTAAGCCTCATTCTACGAGGAATAACGCCTTTTGTCAACAGAGTTCTGTCAATAGAAGGCATTATTGCATCTACATTGTCCTTTGCATTTACACTGTCATGCCGACAAAGTGGCTTGCTTTGTCGACAGAACTGGATGTAGTCTAGACGCTCTTTGTCGACAGAAGCTTTGTCGACAGTATCTGTCGACAAAACTTCTGTCGACAGAAGCCTGTAGTCTAGACATACCCTAAATGTTGTGTTTAGAGCAAAAGTCTGTTCTCGGAGGGACAATTACAGCTTCTATTGAAAATAACAGGAGCTGCGTACACATATCTGAAGGGAGAATTTGGTCTTTAGTGTTTATAGCATGGCAATAGAAATAACATTTTTTTAAAATAAATCAGTGAATCCATCAGTCATGGAAGCATCTTTCAAAAATGTTCTTTTATCTGCAATTATGATCTCCCCATGTGTGTTTTTCTGTTGTTTCTCACAGCCACATTCCATAAGCATCATCCTCTCTTTTGCACTCTGGCTGTGTCTAGTCTACATCCCTTTTCTCGAAAAAGGGCTGCAAATTAGACACTTTGAAATTGCAAATGAAGCTGTGATTTAAATTTCCCGCACTTCATTTGCATAATGGCAGCCGCAGGGGGGCGTTTCCCAAAAAGGGGCTTTCCGAAAGAAAAATGGCTGTTTAGCTAGGGATCTTTCGAAAATAAAACCCTTTTTCAAAAGATCCTGTAAACCTCATTTACACACACACTTGCACCCACATATATGTTAAAGGAGGCTCCTCCAAGTTCCAGTTTTCCTTTTCTCCTCTAACCCACGCTTTGTTTATATTACCTCCTTTATACTCCTTCTCTACTTGTCATTTGCATCTCTAGTAATTCTTACAATAGTGTTTTAATCTGTTTAATACTGAATTTGGTATACCACTCCAAGGACCTTCGGACACATACCCAATATATTAACAATAGTTTTTCAAAACACATTGGCCACATAGAGTGGGCTTGATATGTTCTCCTTTACCTCACTCTTTCAGCCAAATGAGCAATTAGTCTGCTAGTGGAGTTAGAGAGTAAAGAAAAAGGAAACAATTATTCTGATAATAGTTCTTACCAAAGTTTTCACCAGTCTTAGATGGCCTTCTGTCCTCTCCTCTTGATCCTGTGCTACCTTCTCCTCTTACTACTGATCCTCCACCTGAGCCACCTCCTTCTAATCTGTGTGATTCTCTGACACTTCCTCCTCTGTCACCTCCTCTTGGGACTGTAGAAACACCACCACCTCTTCCTCCTTCACCTCTGAAGACACCTCCACTTGCGACACCTCCCTCTGGACCACTATGAAAGGAAAAGAGAAAAAAATGAATGAAACAACAAATCAGTTCATCAAAGGAGACCCACACCCTGAAGATGCACTGAAGCCTGGCCAGCAGGTCTCCCTCCTGTCCATTACCCAACATTCTGCAGCCCTATGGCCAGTGCAGATCATTAAGAAAATGACACTCAAATGCATCTTCTCCACCAACTGTGTATCCACAAGTTGAATTTTCCCATGGCCCAGCTAAGAGATTTTTTCCCCCAAAATCTGTTCTTCTATCCCACCAGTCCTGAAAGCCTACTATGTCACTGGTATCTACATTTGAAATGCATATATCGAATTGATTTGTGCTTGTTTCATGGTATGGATTAAGCCCAGTCAGAATTATGGGTAGGCCAACTGCTTCAGGAATTTTTTTTTAAAAATCTGCATTTCCACCAGAGGTTCAAACTAAAATTATTTTCTGTGTTCACTTCTACCACTAAGACTTCCTAGCTTTTTCTAGAATCAAAAATAGCAAAAGAATGGGGGGACCCTTTTTTCCTGGTATTTCCTGCCTAGCCCAAAATACTACAGCACTAGAACAATTTTTAAATCATGGTTTTACTCATAAGATTTCTATTGCAACTCTAATGTCCAAGAATTCCATGAGTTTTGGACTACCTTATAGTTTTTTAAACAGCTCTCCAAATATTGGAGGACCACTAAGTGGCATGAAATTAACTCCCTTTCCTTGCAGGTTTTGTGTCTGCCAAATCTGTCGAACCAGTTCTCCTCCCTGCATGATTCAATTTGTTCCTAATTGCTGTCCTGATATGTCAATAGTTTACATACCCAGCTAATTGCTGTCATTCACATTGAGGTTTCATTTAAAGCCCTGATATGTCAATAGTTTACATACCCAGGAAGGTCTTTACTTCCTGCGTCAAGCAGACTCCGATACTGAGCTATCTCCTTTTCCAGCTGCATCTTGATGCCCAGGAGCATCTTGTATTCTTGACTCTGATTTTCTATTTCACATCGAATATGTGCCAGTTCTTCCTCCACAGAGCTAATAACACTCTGCATCTGTTGCAGCTGTATGTTGTAGCGACATTCGGTGTCCTCCAAGGAGGACTGCAAAGACTTCAGCTGAGAATTGAACAGAAACAACAGGCTGTTAGGAACGTGGCAAGCTTAAAATATTTTGATGCAGTACCCCATCTCACCCTTTACATAATGGGGCAAGGCCCAAGGCTGGTCTCCTGTCATGCCTGTAATCCATGTGCCCCGTTTCATACGTGATATGCAGAAGCAAAAACTATTACATACCATGCTGAGCTGGGATTGCAGCTCAATTTCCACATTCTGGCATTCACGTCTCAGTTCTGTGATTTGTTTGCTGTTGGTCTCTATGTCTTGGCCACTCGTATTGACTTCTTGATTAACTTCTGCTATCTGAAAAGTGGAAATACAGAATGAAGCTGTTTTCGCTTTAATTATAGGGTGAATATGGTGAATTTGGCATCATGAAAGCATCTAAAAAGTTAAGTGAACTGGCTAGAGGCTGAGTGAGTTGGTTAGGTTCTGTGGTTAGGTTAGTTGGTCATGATGGTCCCTTCTCACTTTAAAGGCTATGACTCGGAATGTAAGACCAGAAGTAATTGGCTTAATTTGCAACAAGAGATTTAAGTTAGATGTTAGGAAAAACTTGAGACTCTTAGGGAAGTTAGGCTCTGGAACAGGCTTCCAAAGAAGTCGTAGAATACTCATAGTTTGTTTTTAAAAACAGGCTGGAGCAACACCTGTCAGGGCAAGGGGCAGGGTCTAACTTCTCAAAGTCCCTTTGAGCCCCACATTTCTATGATTCTATTAATTCTGACTCGCAGCTAAACCTTTTCAATCCAATTAAATCTTCTCATGCTAAATTGTCAGCATAATTTAGATGATTTATAGTAACTCACATGGGAACAATTGCTCTACGACTTTTATGCTTGGGTTTGCTAACAAAGTATGTCAAGTCTTTTTGGCCGTGTCTAGACTCAGGGTTTTTTTCGGGAAAAGTAGCCTTTTCCCGAAAAAACTTCCCCTGCGTCCAGACTCAAGCCGCGTTCTTTCGAAATTATTTTGAAAGAACGCGGCTTTTCTTTCGATGGCGGTAAACCTCAATTTACGAGGAAGAACGCCTTCTTTCGAAAGTTCCTCTTTCGAAAGAAGGCGTTCTTCAATGTAAAGAGGCCGTCTTCGAAAGAGAGCATCCAGACTCGCTGGGTGCTCTCTTTCGAAAAAGCGGATTTCTCTTTCGAAAGATCCGCCTGCAGTCTAGACGCGATCTTTCGAAAGAGGCTCTTTCGAAAGATGCTTTCGAAAGAGCCTCTTTCGAAAGAAGCCTGCAGTCTAGACATAGCCTTTGAGAGAGAGAGATTTAGTTACCAGTACTGCAGTTTACCTTGCATGCATACCACTGTTCCACCTCTTTGCGGTTTCTCTGAATGATAGCATCATACTCTCTTCTCAAGTCATCTAGTGTTTGCGTCAGATCGCAGCCTGGGGCAGCATTGACCTCCACATTGACATCACCAACGGTCTGCTGAATCAATCCTTTAATTTCCTGCAATGAAAACCAGACCCCCCCAAAAACAAACAAACATCTCATTCTGAGGCTTTGAGCTCTTATTCATAGCAAAGAAGGTTTGGAAGACAACTCTACCACTGCGGATACAGAAGGTCTGATTCTGACATTCACCCCTTATGTCTCTCTCACAAGACCCTCCTCTATCAGATCCCAAGAGAAGAGCAGGATTCACCCCTTTAACTTCCTAGTTGTAACACACAATGGCCAATGTTGTTGTACTCTGTGAAAGGGGACAGTTTTTTATACTTGGCCCTAACTCTGCCTCCTATGGGGTGTTTGATTTCCAGTGCATTGCGGACCTTGTATATTGGGAATTCATTAAGGTTATCAGATTATGAATCATACTTTTCCATGGAAAATAGTTTCCCAAGAAGCTTACATTTTTTACATACATGAAATCTATTGTTTTCTTCCACGGCGTCACCACATAAATTGAATTTGGGTAATACAGGCTGCTTATTTCCCTAATCTAGTTTGGTCGAACGTTCAAAGTAGTCTAGCTTGGTCAGACATTCAAACTAGCCATCCCTTTTCTAAACGAGAAGGGTACTAAGTCAGTGAGAGCGGTGGGCCATCAACAGTTCTGAAAATCAGGCCCAGGATGTCTCATGTAGGGCACCCAAAATCACAGAGCAAAAGTGGTGGCTCTTAAAATAACTAATGAAAAGCCAACATTTAAAGGGGGGGATTTTACCTCCTCATGGTTCTTTATGAGAGAAATTAGTTCCTCCTTCAGGGATTCATACTCCGCCTCTAGGTCAGACTTGCTTATGGTCAGCTGGTCCAACATGGGGCGTAAGCCATTAATATCAGCTTCCACATTCTGGCGGAGCGCCATTTCATGCTCTGCTCTAATCCACAGAAAAGAAAGTCGGTAATGCTTAGTGTCGTGTTCCTAGCACTGTCAAGTGTGTTTACGAATGGGTCCTCATCATCTAGATGCCTTTTTGGCCTTATTTTATCTCTTTGCTTATTCTTGATTCTCTTTGCATTTATACTGACTTTACGCGGTTTTAATCCCATTAGCTACAATGGAGCTACCCCGGATTTCCACTGGGGTAAGTGAGTTCAGGCTCATGCCCACAGCACTTCCTGATCATTTGCCTTGTTAGTTCAATGTCATGGACTGGTGTTTTAATACAGTCAAGCGCTCACTGTGGGCACTGTACAGATATCACCTACCCATGTTTCCTATTTTAGGGGAGAATCATCAAACTGTATTCAGTTACTGTGTAAAACTGAGGGTCAAACCTTTAGTTGGTAAAAATCAGCAAAACTCCATTATTGTCAATAGTGCTACACTGGTTTACACCAGCTGAGGAGCTGAACCTAAATTTGTAATGCCTCAGAAACACAAAGTTTTGGGTGACATGAACTGAAGTCCTTGGAATGCCACTCTTTTTCCTAGAGTACTTCTCTTTCCGATAACTGTTCTGTCACGGAGTTGGAAGTACAATACCGTAAACCCCTGTAGGAATTGCTTTGGATATGGAATCATGGTGGGAAGAGGTGGGAATGGGTCAGGCAAGAAGAGAAATACTCACTTGGTTCTAAAGTCATCAATAGTCATCTTAGTGTTATCAACATCCACAGCTACCTTGTTACATTCCACAGAGGCAGCAACAATCTGAAAAAGAGGTGACAGGTGACATTTTGCCCTGCAGTCTCTTCTATCTGATGCATAGAAAAAAGGAGCAAACAAATGCAGTCTCGTACATAAACAGTTGGGGAGAAACCAAGATCTGAGAAACGTGTGTCAGTTACTACTTTTTTACCTACAGTGGTGCCCTTTCTATCAAATGGTATCAAAATCAGTATTGTCAGATTTATATATTAATGAGGTATTTACTACACTAATGTTTTACATGTCTTTTAAAATATGTAAAACCTTGTTTAACAAAATAATTAAACAAGCATCCCATATCCCACAAAATAACAGTGCAAAAACACTATTCCCAGTGGATGTAACAACAGGATCATTCAAGTAAAGGATGCTTGAATGTTCATGCAGCTATGAGATCTAACTGGCTCCATCATCTCAGTTTCTGTGTAAAGATTAGAAACTAAGGCTCATCCTGTGGCCCATCTTACACATCCACACAGAGCCAAAGTGTAGGTAGCAGGTTGTGTAGGTAGCAGGACAAGATGTGGGAGCGACATTTGCAGTGTCACCTCTATCAGTGATCACCCATACAAGTGAGTGAGATGCGGGCAGGCAGGGAAATGGGGAATGAGTGGATATCCAATGGTACATGACTACTTTCTAGACTAGAATTTTCTTCATTTAATTGAAAAGCTCCACAGCACTTTAATTCATCAAAGTGATATCAATGCATGTGAAGTTATATTTTTTTTACCACCTAAAATGGCACTGGAGGAATAAAATAGCATTTACAGGTTTACATTTAGAAAACTGTAGCTTTTTGTGCTATAAACTGTGAAGATTATATATGAAAGATTAAGTATAAATTATACCAATATATTGCAATATGTAACTATACATCTGCAGAAGTGGGCTGTGCCCATGAAAGCTCATGATACCATCTTGTTCTGTTAGTATTTAAAGTGCTGCCAGACTATTTGTTGTTTTTTAAGCTTATGTATGTATGGAGAGAGAGAGAGAGATAGGACTGTTTTGTATGTTGTCAAATATGATTTAATGTTTGTGGCATGCGTTAATATTTACCTTTAAAATTTGTTATTCGGTACTGTTCCTTAGGTAGGTATCCCTTTTTTATATGTTTCTTCAGAATAATGCATTTTTTCCCCCCAAATGCCTGGTTAGACTCAATTAGCAGAGGGGTAGCCGTGTTAGTCTGAATCTGCAAAAGCGGTGAGGAGTCCTCTGGCACCTTCTAGACTAACCAAAGTGTTAATCTACTGTGAATGGCTAGCTAACTACAAAAGCAGCTTGCTATTCACACCTCCAGATCAGATACTAGAAGTGCGCCTCATCCTGCCTGATTGGATCCACCTCGTCATCTCCAGCCTGATTCTGGCCTGCATATTTATACCTGCCTCTGGAAATTTCCACTACATGCATCTGACGATGTGGGTCTTTGCCCACGAAAGCTTATGCTCCAACACTTCGGTTAGTCTATAAGGTGTCACAGGACTCCTCGCCGCTTTTGCAGACTCAATTAGATCACTGAAATCCTTTTTATTTTAGGAAAAGGGCTTTTCATACTTCAAAAGAAAGCTCGATACTTGTTACACCAGACTAACTGCTTTGTCCTTAACTTATGATATTTAATAGTATTTTATTAAAACCTCCCAGTTCCAGTTTTACTTAGAAGGAATACTTTTCATTAACTCAAATTTGTACAATTTTCCCCATAAGCCATGTTTAAAACCTATTTGTCTTACTCTGTTAAGAGTTCATTATAAATGGATTACAAGAGTACTGAAGCCCTCACAAAGGAGGGCTTTTTTATATATAATTAATTGTCTTCACTTGTGTCTGCAGAATCTATTGTGATGATGGCACAGGCAAGGAGTGATTCCTGAAGTTAAGGTTGCCTGATGCTTTCCAGTTGTGTATAGCTTTATCAAACATTCGAAGAATTCCTCCATGCCTGTTGTCTGTTTCACGATGCTTTGTTTTGTTTTTGATCTCCTGCCTGTGGCAAGTGCAGGAATTTAAATTGAATCTTTTTGGAGGAGCCCATTATACACAAAATGAAAGGTTTGCATGACACCACCTGCTAACCTGGGCAGTGAGGAAGCCGCACAGCAGCTGGCTTCTGGGTTCTCCGTTACCCCTAGGCTGTGTCTAGACTGGCAAGTTTTTCCGCAAAATCATCTGCTTTCGTGGAAAAACTTGCCAGCTGTCTACACTGGCCGCTTGAATTTCCACAAAAGCACTGATGATCTCATGTAAAATCATCAGTGCTTTTCTGGAAAAACTATGCTGCTCCTGTTCGGGCAAAAGTCTTTTTCTGAAAGACTTTTGCGCAAAAGGGCCAGTGTAGACAGCATAGTACTGTCTACACTGCAAAAAAGCCCCGATCGTGAAAAAGGCGATCGGGGCTTTTTTTGCGGAAAACTGCGTCTAGATTGGCCACGGATGCTTTTCCGCAAAAAGTGCTTTTCCGAAAATGCTTTTAACGGAAAACTTTTCCGTTAAAAGCATTTTCGGAAATTCGTGCCAGTGTAACTGTAGCCCTACTGTTTCAGCCTGCCTGCTGCTTCTCCTTTCCTGCTCCTAGAGTCACAGTATGGGTGCCTGCTTTACAGACAGCTGGGGCAAATCAGGGGCTAGAGGCAACATGTAGGACTCCAACCGCAGGGAGGAAGCAGAACGCTGCAGGTGTAGGAATGAGGAGAGGAGTTCTCAGCTGTTAGCCAGACACTCTGCTGCTTCCTCCTTCTTCGGGCTGCAGGAACATGTATGCACAGGAGATTTTGGGGTGTGGTGCCCCTATTTACTCTCTCCTTCTGCATGCCAGAGGTCCACCCCTTTTTAAATATGTTATGTTAGCAGAAGAAGTTCAGCTATTTAGCTAAACCAGGTTAGGTAAAATACAGTGATTTGCCTACTTAAAAAAAACAAACCCCCTCTTACTAACATTTTGCTAACATTTAGCACCTCCATGTTTCAGAACAGGGATGCAAAATTCGGCAGGAGGGAGTGCAGCGACATAAAGGACATGTCTTTGGCTGACTCCTTCAAATCAGCCCAACATTGGCAAAGTTATGAAGTTGTGAAAAAAAATGAGCTTGCACATGCTTAGTACATATGTGTTAGGCATCTCTAAAGATTGGATCTCCACAGGTTACCTTAATGCCAGCACTGCCTAATTGTTGGTTGCTTGTAAGTAATGAAATATTTTACCTGCTGCCTGCCTAAGTTTCTGTGCATAATCTCAGAGAGAAGCTTTATAATGACTAGAACTTGTCTGAAAAATAATAGCTTACCTCTTTGTCAATGTCATCAATCTCTTTAAGAAAGGGAGTGTAGTCCTTTAATGAAGCAGTTGGACCTTGATTCTGATACCATTCCTTGATGAGCTTCTCCAGATCAGCGTTGCTTGTTTCCAAACCGTGAACCTTTTCCAGGTAATTTGCCAAGCGATCATTAAGGTTCTGCATGGTGACCTTTTCATTGGTGTTGAGGAGGCCATCGTCGACACAGAAACCACCGCTTCCACCAAAACCACCGCTTCCACCAAAACCACCGCTTCCACCAAAACCACAGCTTCCACCAAAACCACTGCCCATGGCACCTCCACCAAAACCACCACCGCACACACCACCTGCACCCATGACACTTCCGCCAAAGCCACTGCCGCACACTCCACCTCCACCATAGCCACCGCCGCTAAAGCCACCACATGTTGATCCAAATCCCGCTCCATAACCACCACAGCTTACTAGTCTGCCACCATAACCGCCACCGCCTCCCCCTCCATAACTACACTTGGAACCTCCCCCATAGCTTTTACAAGAAAAGTTTCCAACACTGCTCTTCACAGTGGAGGTTCCCGTCCTAGAGCCGCCACTCCCTCCTCCACCAGAGACGCGTGTTCCACCCCCACCAACAGTTGAAGAAGAAGTAAGCGTAGTCTTAGTGCTATAACTCATAGTGAAAGTAGTTAAGTGTCCAGCCCAAAGCCCGAGTTTAGTTGCACAGCCTGATAAAGACTCAGACTGTAGATCTTTTATCCCCTCGAATTGCTATTTATACCTTAAACACTGGGTGTCACCACTAGGGTGTTTCCTCTTCCCAAGGCATTTGGCAACCATACTGTTTATGCCAAGAATAGTTTGCCAAAGGGTTTTTTGTTAATATCAAGACAATCAAGAACATTGCTGAGATTTTGCATTGTCTTTGTTTGAGACAATATAGCCAATGGAATTAATAGACTCCTTTGGATCTGTGTGTTAGTGCCTTGCTTTGCCTTACCCATTCCATTTGCGCCTCTTTCAACATGGCAAAATGGCTTCTGCATTATAACACCCTGCAAAAGGCAGCCACTGGGTAGTTTCTCTCTGATAGCAGAGCTGATCAATCAAGTTCTTTACCAAATTCTATTCCACTGTATGAAATAGAGAAAATGGATCCTAAATCCAGAGTTGTTACCCACACTCAGAACATGCAGTTGCATAGTACACCCAAAGATTTGGGGCACTGCTGGGGCTTAATGTGCACCCACCCACCCCCCCCCCCCCCCCCGCCTCTTTCTAGCCCTGTTCTGTGGCTCTATTTCCTCCAGAGAGGATCTACTTAACAGTGAAAAAGCCTGCTATTAGCAGAACCTGTATGAGAGTCATTCAAGTGGTAATAAAGCCATTGAACAGGCATTTACCAACCCCTGTCATTCATTTACTAGTTTATAAGACCTTAGTTTTTTTTTTTAAATTCATTGGTGTGTTGCTGAAGATTATAAAATCACACCTCTAAAAAACTGTTGCCCCTCCCCCCGCCTGATTGCCATCAGGCATAGGGGTACTATTTTAACAGTACTACAGAGGGCCCCATAACTCCTAGGAATGACACTACCCAAATCCCTCATACTTAGATTGGGTATTTGTTTAGTCTTCCATTTTGTTTGCTCTAATTATTCTAATTAGCTGCTGTTATCGAATACTATCTTTCTCTTTTGTATTGTCATACTCTGTCTATTTCCATTTTCATTCTGCTTATATTTTTGTCTCAGTGGACAAAACGTTGCCACATATGTTTTGCTATTGAAGCTATTTAATTTGCCTAGAATGTGTGTTTTTCCTGCAACAGTCCCAGTACCAAAACAATTATTGTACACATCAGAAGTCTATTCCAAAATATCCATCAATATACATATTTTTAAATTATCAACTCTTCTTTATGAAGAAAACTATGCAACACTCCACAGAAAATGACAGATAAAGAATAATTACCATTCATTTGCAAGAAAGAGCACTTCAACATTTACCTCTTAAATTATTCGTGTCTGGGAGAGGAATATTAACTATGAAATCATAATTAAATCAATTATACAATAATTTTTCTATAAAATCAATCGTAGTGTTGTCAAAAACTATATTAAATTGATGAGCTTTCATAAACCATAGTGCTGAAAGGTCTAAGTGTGGTAGAAAGTATCAATCCTGTACAGCGTTAAATATTCTCATAGTAAAGAGATCTTAGAGTCTGAACAAGTATCCAGGGGAAGTATTAGAAGGCTTACAGCTTGACTCAATTAAAATTATACTGGACAAAACACTGGAGAAAATACTTTATGGAAGAACTAGAAGATTTGCTCAGTGTTGCTTGGATCCTTAACTCAAATAAATTTTGTTTTTCTCCATATAAATCGTCGTTCTAGGGTGGGGCTGAGGTTGAGGGGTTCCGTATGTGGGCTACCCCAGGGACAGAGGACAACCCCAGCCCTTTCTCACCGCAGGTTGGGGCCACTCAGAGACCACAGCCGGGGGTGAGTTGCATGTCCCTAGCTGTAAGCTAGTCAGACACACAAACAGACAAATTATCTGAAATATATAGTAGATAGCTGTGTCTTTTCCCACTTTTACCCCTGTTGGCCCAATGGGATTATAGCTGTCCTGGTCACCATCTCTGGTCCCTTGCTGCCTCCTTGTGGTCATTCCACAATACAACTCCCTCCTACCAGACACCACCCTTTCCATTTTATGAGAAACAATCTAATTCCAGGCATATCCCATTGTCCTGGCAAAACTAAACCCTTACCTTACTTTAAGTCATGATAAGAGGAAGCTGTGTACCAATTTTGGTGGTCTTCATTCTTACTGTTTAGGAGGAGTTCTTGAGCAAAGGACTTACAGATGGACAGACGGATGCACATTTCTAAAATATACAGTAAAGATGTTGCTCTGATCCTAACGGGTATAGATAGCATGGGCTGTGTCTAGACTGGCAAGTTTTTCTGCAAAATCATCTGCTTTTGTGGGAAAACTTGCCAGCTGTCTACACAAATTTGAATTTCTGCAAAAGCACTGACGATCTCATGTAAGATTGTAAGTGCTTTTGCGGAAATACTATGCTGCTCCCGTTCGGGCAAAAGTCTTTTTCCGAAAAACGTTTGTGCAAAAGGGCCAGTGTAGACAGCAGAGATTTGTTTTCCACAAAAAAGCCCTGATTGCGAAAATGGCGATCGAGGCCTTTTTGTGGAAAAGTGCATCTAGATTGGCCACGGACGCTTTTCCGCAAAAAGTGCTTTTGCGGAAAAGCGTCCTGCCAATCTAGACATGCTTTTCTGAAAATGCTTTTAACGGAAAACGTTTCCGTTAAAAGCATTTCCGGAAAATCATGCCAGTGTAGACGTAGCCATGGCCTATCAAGTCTTTTCCACCTAAATTTCTAAATTCTGTGCTGAAGTAGGGAATCAAAAGGTGATGGTGGTAAGTTTGTTGTAGCAGTCTGTGGGGAGGCAGGAGAATACCCCAACAATCCTAGTCTGTCCATGGTGTGTTTGGACACTAGCAATGTTTCTGAGAAAGTTTAAAAGAACATTTTAAGTAATATCACGGAAATGGCCAACCAACATTGATTATTACAGATTATTATTATTTGCTTCCTGAATCAGGCACCTCCAAAAAGTATTTTTCTGATTATATGAATTGCTGTTAATTGATTACTTAACTTTTTCCTTTGCCAACTCCAGAGCTTCAACCACACTCCAGTCCAGAAATCTGTTCTTCTGAGATTTGGAGCCATAATTGTATCCCTAAGTGGTTTTGTAAATTCGGGTCAACAACCAAACTATAGATTGTTTCTTTGAAATCAGCCTCTATAGCTTGTGTGAATAATCCTCAACAGATCACAAATTAGTGTGGTTTGGCAGCTGTGATTTGAGGAAACGGGATCATTTTGGAAGCATCAGCCTTGTTGGATTTTACCAAATTATTTTTAACACTATCCTGCCTTGGTGATATTTTGTGATTGCTGGTTTAGTAAGTTGTGATGCTGTTGTGAGATTTCGCAGCTGGTAAGGACACAGTATTTTCACCTCATGTGCCATCTGCAGTGAGCACCATGGGACACACCTGGAACTGTCCTTGTATCTCTGAGGGCCTATTCAGCAAGCTCTGCATGGATTTGCAGAAATTACCCTGGCTGTGCAACCTGTTGGCTTTTCTGCAGTCATGTCTAACAACCTGCCATCTGTCCACAATGTGCAAGGTTCAGTTTCAAGATATCTTTTTGCATCTTCCTTTCTGGCTGTTTTTCCTTTCAAAAAAATCATTATTCAGCATTTTCTTTCCCAGCGAGGGATGCCATTTGGGGATATGTGCTGTGCAGTAACACTGTGCTTTTGCGTTTGCTTCATTTCTGTTTATGCAATCTTGTTGCAGAAGCTCACTGGTTTTGATTTTATCTGGCCATTTGTCATGCATAAGAGCTTAAAGGTGATGAAATATTTTATTCTCTTTGATGGGCTGGTAACTTGTTCTTGTTTCATGGATAGAGAGTACGGTGGCAACCTATAGCAGCAGAAATACTGATTTTGTTTTTTGTGTGATACCTTACTAGTGCCTTACTGAAAGGTATCAGAGGGGTAGCCATGTTAATCTGTATCCATAAAAACAATGAGTTCTTGTCTGTGGCATCTTAAAGACTAAGGGCGTGTCTACGCTACATGGAAGATCAACGCTGCTGTGGTCAGTCTTCCGGGGCGTGTCTACACTACATGGAAGATCGATGCTGCTGTGGTCAGTCTTCCTGCTAAATCAAATTCAGAGAGCAACCCCGTTGCCACTGTTACTCCTCTCTTCATGAGGAATAAGGGAAGCCAATCAGAGCATTTACTCCTGTCAGCCTCCTGCTGTGTGGATGGCACAGAAACACAATTTAAGATTCGCCAACTCCAGCTACACAATTTGCATAGTTGGAGTTGTATATCTTACTTTGACCTTCCACTGCAGTGTAGACCAGGCCTAACGGATCTATTTGTGCAAAACCCCACTTTCTCACATGCATCTGGCGAAGTGCGGTTTTGCCCATGAAAGCTTATGCCCAAATAGATCTGTCTTTAAGATGCACCCAGGACTTTCTTGTTTTGATTGAAAAACACAATTTGCCAAATGCAATATGTCTTTTCTAAGTCTTTTTTTTTTTTTTTTTTTGTATTCAAGTAGCATATTTTTGTCACCGAGGGCTATCTTTGACAAAATTCCACAAGGTAACTAAAATCAATTATCACACTGAGTTTCCCACCGCTGATTCTAGTGCTGTGTCTTACATATGCTATCTCCAGTGAAGCATAGAATCACAGAACACTAGAACTGGAAAGGACCTCGAGAGGTCATCAGGTTTGGTCCCCTGCCCTCACGGCAGGACCAAGCACTATTCTAGATCATCCCTGAGAGATGCCTATCCAACCTGCTCTTAAATATCTCCAGAGATGGTGATTCCATAATCTCCCTGGGCAATTTATTCCAGTGTTTAACCACCCTGACAGGTAGGAAGTTTTTCCTAACGTCCAACCTAAACCTCCCTGGCTGCACTTTAAGCCCATTGCTTCTTGTCCTATCCTCAGAGACCAAGAAGAACAATTTTTCTCCCTCGTCCTTGTGACATCTGTTAGATACTTGAAAACTGCTATCATGTCCCCTCTCAGCCTCCTCCTTTCCAAACTAAACAAGCCTGATTCTTTCAGTCTTCCCTCATAGGTCATGTTTTCTAGACCTTTCATCGTTTTT